TAAAACAATTCAGGCTTTTGGAGATGTTTTGGTTGCCAAGTTTCTCCTTCAAAAAGGTGGTCGCTGTGATCCATGGTTCAAAAATAAATTTAAATGTATGACATGTTTACCTCATCTGAAAAGAGTATCAAGGCTTCTGATTACATATTTTAGCCCTTTCCGATATCATCAAGACTTAGTTTTGAAGTTGTGAAATTGTTTTACCTTGTTATCTGCGCACATGATGAACTACTGTAAAAGTAGGACAGCTGCTCTTTGATACTATTGATTTTGAAGAAAGCCAGTATATATATATGGTGGAGATAGTTCCGAGATGACAATAATTGCGTATTTGTACTGTCTTTCATTTGTTCTCATAAACCTAGATGCATAAATATAGTTTAGAACTTCTTTTGTTTGCTGATCTTCACGTGTTATTTAGTGGTTATAGCATTCATTAAGGTAGAAAATTTATAAGTTCTATATCTAATGCTAAGTGGGCATTTGGCCGTGTTGCATTGTGATGTTTGATAAAAGTAGGTTTTTGTTTTTAAAGTGAAAAACTGGAGTTGTGTTTGGCCATGAATACTAATTAAAGCTGTTTTTGTTCATGGCCAAACGCCTCATAGCTGTGCTGTATTGCGTTTCACATAATATACAATGTGTGAATTTTCCCTTTCTGCTGATATTTTGTGGAAACTAGCAGTTACAATAGAATATGCTTTGCTTCATTCAGATTCTCGGTGATTTGGAATTAACTTGGATGACTCTTGTACTTAAGCTTATGCTGCACAAAATGCTTGCAGTTTCAAGGGTAGAAAATTAGCACTTGTAGAAACATATACTTTTTGTTAGTAATTCGTGGTAATGAACTGTTGTATGTTTCTACTTATACACGGGAAATTTTACCACGTTAGAAAATACTGGGTAATGGAACTGTCGCTTTTGAGAAGTTTCTCTGAATTTGCATTATTCATGTATTACATATATATGGTCTAACTAAATACTGCAGACAAGTCAGTATTTTTTATGTATCCCTGCAAGAGTTTAATGAGCAAACATTTGACTCTTGTTGTTGCTGGCTTATGATTCTGCTGCAACCTTTTGTTTTCAGGCTGAGTGGATGGCTCCAGAAGTGCTGAGAAATGAGCCTTCAGATGAGAAGTATGTCTTACATAATCATATTACCCCATTCAAAGTGTTGAATAAATATGTATTAGTGAAAGCAACTATAACACAAGAATCAGAACAATTCTACAACAAATATCAGGGTTCAACTATAAGTTTGTTCACCGTCATTGGTATAATGGTTGTTGATTTGTACAATGATTTCATGCCTTACAGATGTGATGTATATAGCTTTGGTGTTGTACTATGGGAGCTCTGTACTCTGCAGCAGCCATGGGGAGGAATGAACCCCATGCAAGTCGTAGGTGCAGTTGGATTTCAGCATCGCCGTCTTGACATACCAGATGACATGGATCCAGCTATTGCGGACATCATCAGAAAATGCTGGCAAACGTGAGAACAATTTATCTTTCATTCATTTTGCCCCTAATTGAGCTCTGTCCATAATCTTTTACTCGCTTCTTTAGAGCTTGTCAGGCTGACCAAGTGTTATCTGTGGTTGTTGTTCATAATCAAGGCACCTAGGTGACCATCACAGTGTTGGTCTGGCAGTGCCTGAAATTTTTGTGCATCTGTTAATATCTTCCCAATGGTATGTGTAAAAAGAGTGAGGGTTAACGTTCAAATCTCAACAGAGAAAGAAACAACATTGGATGATTTTTTTCCATCTGTCTATATCTTGCTTGGCAAATTTATCTGCTACCTACAATACCCCGTGAGAATAAGTGTAAGTAAGCTGGCCTAGACACCACAATCATTGAAAAAGAAGTGAGTCACTTATTATATATAGTGTTAGTATGCAGTACCAAAGCACCTCAGCATGAAAGCCATGCCGTTAGTTTTGACAAAATATGGTACCTGTTTGCATGTCTATACAAGATTATCTCTGGTTTTCTTGATGTAAAAATCTTATGTTTTTTTTTTTTTGATTTACCTGTTTAATGTGTAGAGATCCAAAGTTACGGCCTTCATTTGCTGAGATTATGGCTGCTTTGAAACCACTGCAAAAGCCTATAACCAGTTCACAAGTACCAAAACCACTGGGGAACAGAGGTCAAGAAAAGGGCCGGTCATAAAGGAACGTGGATGATCGAGCAGCACAGCATGTTTAGGACAGAAGGGAAAACGGAATTTTATCTTTTATTGGAAACGAAGACAAGGTCCATATTTGTTTAACCCGAAATTAAAGGAAGACATAAAGGATCTGTCAACAAACATATACTTCATGTTGAGTCAATTGTTGTGATTCTTTTTTTTTTTTTTTTGTTTTGTTTTCTGGCAGTTGTCAACCCACAGGTCCTCAACATTGTGAATCTTATCTTATGTATATTCATTTTTGGGATCATTTTATAATTAATAGAGATTGAGAACATTTCCCATACTTCCACATCAAATACTTTGAGATGCTTGATTATCCAGTTGCAGCAATAGAGGAACAGACTCATCTTTTTTTTGTTTTTGTTTTTTGAATTGAAAGATTTCAGTAATAGTCAATTGTTGATTTAGTTTTTAGTTGAAATAGCATGCCTGGAGAAAACTGATTCATGTAAAGATAAGGTAGGGACCATTTACTACAACTGTATACAGTTGAGTCACTACAAATATCTACTACTCACTCATATGCTCATTTCATATCCAAAAACATGGCCACTCTCTTTGGATCCACACCTTCTCTGTCTCACCCAATTACCAGAACTAACTTCTCTTCATCCTCCCAAACTCCTCCTCCTTCTCAGCCTCCAAATCAAAATCCACAACCACAAACTCCGCTACCATCTCAGCCACTGAGTGCTACTGCTGCAGAGCCTCCATCACCTGTTAATGTGCAGCAGCAAAAGCCTAGTAAATCTGCGCGCCTGTCAGCCTCTGCGGATTCCACTGATTGGATTGCCTCCTCCTTAACAAGGAGATTTGGCCTTGGTGCTGGACTTGCTTGGGCTGGTTTCCTTGCTTTTGGTGTTGTTTCTGAGCAAATCAAAACTCGTCTTGAAGTGTCTCAACAAGAAACAAACACAAGGTAAAAACTTACATGATTTCTACTTTCCATATTCTATTTGTTTTTCTCTCTGTATAAACATCAAAATTGTATCCAGAAATATGAACTCTTCTTTGCTTAATTGTCAGGGTTGTTGAGAAAGAAGAAGAAGTGGTCTTGCCCAATGGGATAAGGTACAGTCTCTTCTATGCTAATCGAACTTTTATCCACTATAACAGTGAAGTCGTAAAATTATTTTCTCACTTTAAAACAACTGAATTGTACCTACTAAAGAATCCATGTACTCACTATAGTAGTAAAATCACTTAACTTCACCTACTTTAACGACAAAACTTACTCATCAAGGTGTCTGTCCATAAGTGAAATTGATGTATATTCGTGTAACAGGTATTATGAACTGAAAATTGGTGGCGGTGCAACAGCAAGGCCAGGGGACTTAGTTGTGATAGATGTGAAGGGAAGCATACAAGGCAGTGGAGAAGTTTTTGTGGATACATTTGGTGGTGATGGAATGAAGAAGAGGCCATTGGCATTAGTAATGGGATCAAGGCCTTATAGTAAAGGAATTTGTGAAGGTATAGAAACAGTACTAAAAAGTATGAAGGCAGGTGGAAAAAGAAGAGTGATAATTCCTCCAAATTTGGGATTTGGAGAAGAAGGAGCAGATTTAGGAACAGGGCTGCAAATTCCTCCATCTGCTACTCTTGAGTATGTTGTTGAAGTTGAAAAAGTTTCTATTGCACCTGCTTGATTGAAGGTATACAAATAAATAGTATAACTTCAAGTGTTTGCTACTAAAGGAAAATGCAAAACAGTTGATTCTTGTACTGTTCTTTAGTTGACAAGAAAGATGTGTGGAAGTTTGATTACAACATATTGAGGAGGGCCATTCTCTATTTCTACATTAAGAGGGAGATTAACCATTCTTGCAATTGGTCATATTTAACTTTTCGGAATTCATAATTTATTGATCTGATTAATTTGAATTTCCCGTTGTGCAAGACCATTGAGAAGAAAACGCTCCCTACCACATTCTCAAAGAGCGACATATAATTTTTGATCAACTTAATTCGATAGGTAGAAAGAATTAGTATTCATCCATCATAACTTGTGAACAATTGATCTACAAATACAATTTTTACTTGTTATGCTGAAATCTTTTAACTCATTGAAACAAATGTCTAGTCCGACATATTTATTTTTTAAAACAGAGGTCGTTTCTTACAAAAATATCAAACGAGACCAAATATTTAAGACCGTGCTTTATAAAGGTCATTTTTGTAAATCACCAAACTCCATTTGCAATAGATCTAATTGAACGATTTGCCTTTAAAATGAGTTAAACTTTAATTTTGCCCTTCAAATGAACTGATCTTTAATATTTTTCCCTAGAGATCAAATTAATGCTTAGCGGGACAAAGTTTATTTCGAACAAAGGATAGGGCATAAGTTTGAAGATATTATAATGCAAAAAAGTTATTCATCAGATTAAAACTAAAAAGAGGAATTTTCGCATATAATATATCTATATTTTCCTAATTACGATTCGTAGCTATATGTTAGAGGAAGGAGAGAGGCGAGCGAGAGAGTGCAGATAATAGAAAGAGGTGAACTGTATATGTATATATGTCAGATGATTGTATATATGTAACAAGTATACATATGTATTTGTATATCTGATGATCGAGATTGAGAGAGGAAGGAGAGAGGCGAGCGAGAGAGGGTATAGAGAGAAGAAATGTTAATTGTATTTGTCTGTTTCTCATATAATTATATATTGTATATGTATAATTTATATTTGTATACGTATGAAAAAAGAGAGAAGAGATAGGTTACACAATTACAACTAAAATTAAGTCGTGAACTATAGCTACGTTAATAAGTAGTACTAAATTTCCCCAAATTAAAAAGCAGCACAAAATAGGGACAAAAAAGTGCAAATAACCTGTTAGATAGAATTGGATTTTGATCCACCCGGCCCTTTGTGAGCTCCGTTCAATTTGGGGAAGGAAGAACAGAAGTGTTGAACTGGTAAGGAAATTCATAGAAGCTCAAGAACAAAAACCCTCCTTAAACCCTAACGCGAAGAAGATCGACATGAATAGATCTCTTGCAACAAGTATTTATCGCTGTTCGTTTATGCTGAATCCTTACCCTGCTACCTCTTCATTTTGGCCCAGCTATAGGCGTTTCACATCCAAAAGCTCTAATCAACCTCCTGCTGATAGCAACGACAACCACCTTCAAGACGAAGACGATATCAGCAATAAAGGTGTGATTCTTACAAAAATCAATCTTCATTAGTTGTATTAGATCCGCAAATAAGCAAAGTTATATGTTAGCTTGTTTCAATTGCTAAAAAAATTGATTTTGAGCGCTCAAAAACAATCGGGATACTTCGCTGTATGTCTTCCTCCTTTTGCCGGTAAATTTGAGTTTACTAACCCTATAATTTGCTTATATCTCTAATTTATACCAAAATAACTTTCAGTTTCAGCAGAAATTAGTTACCTAGTATTTTTAATTTTAACTCTATGATATTATCCATCTCTAAGTCATACTGTATAGACTAAATTTCATTGCAATTGAGATAAACTTGGAGAATTTTTTTATTTTACTGAGTTTCGGATATAGGATTGAAACAGGGATTGATTTCATATTCAAATTTGGAGTTGATTTCTTGTTCCTATTACAGCGCTGAAAAAGCAGATAGATAAGTTTTTTGAAGGAGATGAAGAAGCATTCCCATCGATATTTGAAGCCATATTGAAAAGAAAATTGGCTGGAAAAAGTGAAGAATCTGATAAGGAATTGATGAATGAACTTCAGGCTCAACCTCGTCGACAGCATGATGCTGCCAATGGAGAGTCTGACTCCGATTGAGTTGACTTACGACAAGTCTACCTATATGAGTATTGTTGTTTATACATTGATAAGAATACAAGATTGTCATGGGGATTGAGTTGTGAAGAGGATTAAACGTTTATGTATTCATCATTCCTCACTGTAATTTTATATTTCAATAGCTAGCAGATTCATTTGGATCAGCAGAAAGAATTTCTATCTGACAACTTGTGAAGTTGGAAGTGTAGGTGTCCAATCAATCAACAACAACATACTCATTGTAATCCTACAAGTGTGGTCTGGTGAAGGCGTCTAATCAATCAATGAAGTGGAAATAACTGTGGGATACCAGGATTTGGATCCCAATAGAAATAGAAGAATGTCTTTTTTCTCTTTTGGTCTGGCTAAGTTGTAGTGAGCCTTGTTTGAAGTTTGGATGATTTAAACACTGTGCTATAGCCTCTGGATGATGTATTTGTGACCCATGGATGATATGTTTTCTGAGTAAAATTTGTTATTCCCTTAACCTTCCAGTGTAGGAAAATAGTATCTTCCTACCTTTTAAATGTTGAACACTTATTCTTTGTACTTACCTATGCATTAATAGAGGTTGTCTTCAGATTGCTTTTGAAGTTCCAGAGCACGCTCTATCTTTGTTTCCTCGTTTTTCTGTACCAAGAATGATCCAATTGAATCAATTCTGAGGCTGATATGTCCACCTCCCCCATCATCTTCACCGTGTTATTGGAAGTAACCTACCTGCTGGTTGGCTAATGCTATCTTGTGCCTGTACTATTTCAAGTTTGCAGTAATTTTTAAGGGTTAATCGAGGCTGCTTTGTTAAAGATCTTTCAAGCCATCTTTCTGGTTGTTTGGATGCCTATAATGATGCTAAAGCTTTCTTTAGTCATGAAGCTCTTTCATGGGCGGCTTACAATATTGTTAAGGAGATGGTTGAGTTCAATTATCAAAAGAGGTGATCAGAACGACTGATTAGGGAAAATCCATTACAGAAACAAAATCATTTGTGTTATAAATACATCATATTACGGATATTCATTTAAATATATAATTTTTTAATAAATTTGTAATCAAATCATTCGAGCAGATAACGAAATAGGCACAAGGAAAGAGCAATAGACGGGACCAGCCTACAAAAACGACACGGTCCCTCCGTAACCAGTCATCCATAATATCAAATAAATCATTTTCGTCTTTGGTAAACTTACCAATGGCTATAGTCATAGTGATCCTCCTATTCAACTACTTCGATCATTTCCAAGTACCTCATATCTTTTTCGGAGCGTCCCATAGAGTCAACGGTACGACAGACAGCACTGCCTACACGCGAATTAGCTTCCGAGGTTGAGCAGTCTCAATTTCACTACAGAATTTGCGAATGAATGCTGGGCTGGCGTGAACCGCATGCCGGGAGATCCGCACGTACGGTTTTTAGGGGTTTCGATCCAATCCATTCTTGGAATCAAATAAAGACAAAAAAGGATATGTCAGTGACCTAACACGACAAAGCACTCTCCGAGAGCATCAAACAACTTAATTAAACAAGAAGTGTTATAATGCATCGATGAAGTTCTCTTTTTACGAGTAAATTTTTTTCTTTTGTACAAATAGAAATCAATTCAATTATATATATATATATATAAGAAGTTCACATTTGAATAATATATACGTGTCGAGTGTACTTACTAGTACTAATTTTAAAATCTTTTCTATTTTCCTATTTTTTTCTTTTACCTTTTAGCAAAGTAAGTTTTGGTTTTAAAAAAACACAAATATTTTTGTCGTTCCAATGCCTGTATCTAAAAACTGAGAAAACAAACGCAAAACTACAGAGAGGCTCTAAAACCCTAAACCATGAGACGAGCTCTATCTCTGTGCTCCCGCAATTTCCATCTCTCTCAAAACTTCAAGTCAAATCCAAATTATTTCAACAGCAGCAGCAGTAGCAGTAAAATCATTCATCGCACAGTTGTTCCGTCAAAGATTAGATTCTTTTCTTCATCAGAAAATGATTCTTCATCGAATCACAACACCCCTGAACCAAGCCCTCAGCCGGAGACTAGCTTGAATGAATCCAACGAAAAAGAGACTAGCTTGAACGGATCCACCGAAAAAGAGGTCTCCCTCAATGTTGAAGATGTCAACAATAAAGGTAAGTACTTAGCGATCTGCAATGTGTTTAGTGGCGATTATTTGTCAATTCTGAGAAAATTGGGTGCTGGGGGTTAATTTAATCTTTCCCTGAAAATGTTTAGGTTTAATGATTTTGCTGATTAATGAGAATATGTACTGGATCTCTCTTACTATGATTGATGCGGATTGCTGACAATAGAATATTGGAGAAAATTTAAGTAGTTGAATTTTGGGTCTTATTTTACTGGCATCCCTAGTTTTATTGTTCCAACTAGAATGCCCTCAGCAAAAAAAGATATCTTTTTTCAACTTTCTTGGTGTTCTGTCAATGGAAATCCCTTTGTGACACTTACGTTGTTGTGTGTTAAACAATTTATAGTTTCTTTGGGGATTACACTGATAGAAGATGGTAGTGAATTAAGATCAGGGATGGTGTATTTTTAATTTGAATGGGTTTCTTGGTTCCATATTAAGCTACCTCATTTGTTATATCTACTGTAGAGTTGAAGCTGCGGATTGAGGAATATTTCAACAAAGGCAATGAGGAGGCGCTTCCATCAATTCTTGAAGCAATTTTAAAGAGGAAATTGACGGGAAAGCATGAACATACAGATGATGAGTTATTGGAGGAGATGCAGATGAAACCTCTGGATGGTGTAAATGATGAAGAGTTTGAATCAGATTTCGAGGAAGGTCACAGCACTGATGAAGATATTGAGGATTTGTATGACGCAACAGATATTGTGAAAAGGAAAATGGTGACTGATAAGTTCTTCAACATGGATGACAGGAAGTGGGATGATATGATAAAAGAGGCTACTGAGCATGGGCATCTTAAGGATACAAGGGAGTGTGAGGAAATTTTACAGGAGATGCTTAGCTGGGATAAAATTTTACCTGGTACTACTTTTGTATGATCTTCTGGTTTCTTAGTTTTTAACTTCTTATTCCTATTAGTAGAAAATTAATTCTTTTGTATCATGATGTTAATTTTGACTAGGCTTTAAGCTTATAAAAGGTCTAACCCTTAATATCTCTTTAAGTCTTATGATGAGCTTCTTGCAAGTGAAAAAATTTAGTTGTCTGTCGCACTGGCAAAGGTGCCTACCCGTAGCTCATAATCATCAGGTAGTCAGCTGTTTGGAGGGTTGCTGGTGCATATTTTTATCATTCCAAAATCTTACATCTGTTACAAAATAACTAATAAACTGCCCCCTCTTGGTTAATTTATTTCTGTTTGGACTTTTTGGAGCTTTAGTTTAAGGCCCTTCTCCTTGCAGTAAATAATTCTTTTTGGCCTATTAGCTTCACTAGTTTTAGATTGTGACTGGCCTGTGAACTGAAACATCAACTGTGATGACTGTCATGCTATTTTCTGTCTTTTCCTGCAACATAAAAAAATTGCGGCGAGCACAATTTTAATGTGTTCCCATCACATATTAAATATAAGGTAGGGATAATATCTGCCAATTAAAGTGAAAAGATTTCGGCTTTAGAACTTTTTCATGGCATGCAGATGAATAATATGTATTCCAATCAACAATCAAAAGATAATATCTGTGCTCCCAATTCAGCAATAGTGCTGATATTGTCCGAAATCTAATGAGCAAGGGGATGCGATTTCCACAATAATTTTCTTAGTTAGATAAATTTCATTTTCTAATTCCTACAATAATTTTCTTAGTTAGATAAAATTTCATTTTCTAATTCCTTCGCTATTAGGTTTATAAAATTGTAGTGGTGGAAAAAAAGGAAAGGTTAAACCTCAAAGAAGTGTGGCAGGAGCAATTAAAAAGTAAGTTGAGGTTTCTTTGATCAAGCAAATTACGTCTTACCTGTTGACAGAATTCTTTTAACTCTTCAGTCAATTATAATTTCATCACTAGCTAATTTCTCTGATAGCTTGTATGGAATAGTTATAAGTTCTATTGAATTTCAGTTTCACGTAATGTATTCTCTTTAAGACATGATTCAAACTTGTCTTTTATAGGATATTAGAGTCAGTTTTCAGTGATCTATTTGATGTCCCAATCTATTTTTTTGGATTCTTGACTCATCGGATACTTTATCTTTATCCAGATGAAATTAAAAAGAAGGTAGAAGTTAAGTTTGATGAGATAGGTGAAAGGGTTGAAAAAGGTGAGATTACCCCTGAAGAAGGCTATGCATTGTTCAAGGAGTTTGAGGATGGGGTGGTCGTGGAGTGTGCAAAACTGATGGAGAAGGATGCTCCACAGTTTGATGCGACTACCTTGCCAGATGACAAAAAGGATTTGGATGACCCTCCAGGTGAAGGCCCAGTCCTTAGATGGCTAACAAGGGTGGTCTTTGCTCCTGGGGGTGATGCATGGCATCCAAAAAACAGGAAAGTCAAATTGGCTGTTACAGTGAAAGAGCTGGGTATGTCAAAGCATCAATTTCGCCGCTTAAGAGAATTGGTTGGAAAACGATACCATCCTGGGAGAGACGAGCTAACCATCACTAGTGAAAGGTAAGTTCACATTTTGGGTGTATCTAAGTTACCAGTATCTGATCTTGTCATGGGGTATGTTTCGGCTTATCTTTCAACTGAGCTTTATTTATGTGTAGCTATTGTTGAAACTATTAGTTGGAAGTATTTAACTGCTGCTTATTGGTGAGCTACACTGGCATTTGAAGTTTGGGGAACTTACAATGAATGAATGTTTACTTTTACTCAGATTTGAACACCGCGAGGAGAATAGGAAGGACTGCCTGAGGACTCTATTTGCTCTTATTGAAGAGGCTGGAAAAGCTAACAAAATTGTAGAGGATGTTCGAACCTCGTACGTGAAGCAGAGACTCAAAGCAAATCCTGCATTCATGGAAAGGCTGCATGCAAAAACCATGAAATTGAAAGAATCCAGCTTGTTGCATGCATGACAATAAGCTGTTTGCAGCTGGCATTTTCTTGTAGAAGATAAACACAAGGTTATTGATGTGCCTTCGCATTGACATTTCAAAACATTTTTCAACATTCACAATTAGTACAGGTTTGCGAGGGGGCATTCTTACATGGTCTGGTGCAAAAGAGTTACCACTTACTTTTGGTGGCACTGCTATGTATTAGCTACCCTTGTTCTCAAAGCATATGAAGAAGATTAGGACGACAAAGGTCAACGACGACGGGAAACCATATCAAGAGATGACCGTTTGTACTTCAACTGCTGCTTCTCATCCAATCCCCTGCAGAAAGAGAGTGAAAATAACTGCTGTCTCTTCTTTGAGAGTAGTCAAATTACAAACTTTACTCTTTCAAGCTGCTTTTGCTATCTTAGTTTCTAGTCCATTGTCTTAAAGTCCTATAAGTTGTCTGCTAATCTAGGTTGGTAGTGTGTGAACCGTGACACTTCTGGTTTGGGATGTGGTTTTTCTGGATCTTGTGCCCTGCCTTTTTAGTCATTTTTGTCTGTGTAACTTTATTTTCACTTGCGAATAATGGAGTTAATTCATAGCTGTA